ATACGGGACCGTACCGTTACTGTGATTAAGCTTTAATAGCTTAAAGATATTCTAAGGTAAATGTAGCTTGCTACATCCCTCCCCCTCAGAAGCGAACCGTCCCGGGAGCGTCACCTTTTCTTGCGAGCAGGTGCTTTCCGTTTCGGTTGTTCTGGGGTGCTGTTCCGGGGTGCTACCGAAGGAGGGGTGGTCAGGACCACTTTCCTTTTTGGTGTAGATTGCCCGGACTTTGCCGCCAACCGTCGTTCATAGTCGTCAATAGCTTCGGCCAAGGGAACGGACTGACGCAGGGAATCTTCCGGTTCATAGGTGTTATGACTGGAGTCATAGCCTTCCCATTTAACCAGATATTCTCGACGTGTTTTGCCGGTTCCACCTCGGATTTTCACATCACGATGGTCAAGTAGTGCCTCAACCATGTAATATGGCTCTTCGTCAATTATGAACGGGGGCGGCGGTTGTCGTGTTCCATCGTCCTTGAATGGTTTGAGCAAGGATACGTGGAAGACCGGATGGAGTCGGGAAGTCGCGGGTAATCCCAATTTAACCGTGTTCTCTCCCACTCGGGCGACAACCTTATATGGCCCAATAAACTTAGGCAATAATTTCTTTGCTCCAGGAGATTTCAACTGGATGTTGCGGGTGCTGAGCAGCACGGAGTTCCCAACCTCAAAACGCACCGCACGCCGATGCTTGTCGACGACAATGCACTGGCAGGATTGAGCAGCTTTAAGACGCTGTTTTGCGTTTTCAATACGTTTGCGCATGACCTTGGGATAGCGGTCAGCGGCAGGCACTTTGGTTTTTAGGTGCAAGTCAACCGGCACACGTGGCTGCTTGATACCATTAAGGCTAAACGGGGTGGCACCCGTTGAGCTCTGCCTCGAGTTATTAATAGCAAACTCGATGAGTGGCAGGTGTTCGTCCCAATCATCCTGAGTGGGCGAAATATAGTGCCTCAGTGTCTCTTCTAGCAAGCGATTCATTCGCTCGGTTTGACCATCAGTCTGCGGATGGTAGGCTGTGCTCATATAGAGGTGGGTGCCTAGCAGGCGAAATGTTTCCTTCCAAAAGTTGCTTGTGAAGCGTGTGTCCCGGTCAGACACAATATTCTGTGGAAGGCCGTGCTGTTTGAAAACCGTAGCCACAAAGAGGCGGGCTAGATCTTCCGCACCGACGGATGTGGTTGTGGGAGCGAAGTGCGTCATCTTGCTCAGGCGGTCCACGAACACTACTATCGCGTCATGCCCATTGCGGGTTGTGGGTAGCTGTGTGACCAAATCCATTGACACACTATCCCAAACGTTATCTGGAATGGGAAGGGGCTGCAGCAGTCCGCCTGGCTTTTGATTTGAAGCCTTATTGCGCTGACAAGAAGGGCAGGTACTAACGTAGGCCTTCACGTTAGTATCCAACCCGGACCACCAAAAATGTTTCGCGATCGCTTTTTTGGTGCGGTCAATGCCGCAGTGGCCAGCGTAAGGAACATCGTGATTTTCGTGGATGATGTCCTTTCGCAAGTCAAGCACATCCGGAACGTACAACTGGGAACCGTAATACCAGAAGCCGTCTTTCCGTTTAAGCTGCAGTTTTGCTACCGAGCTCTTCTTGAGCATGGGATCGCCGTCGTACCCGCTTAGGATTCGGCGCCCAATATCGCTGCCAATCAGCAATGCCGTAAGCACGTTCAGCACCACGTCGTGGACCCGACTGAGAGGGTCAGCAACGTTGATTCGTCCGGGTCGGTACTCCCATTTAAAGTCGAAACGTGAGAGGCGTTCCAACCAACGAGCTTGTCGTCGAGAGAGTTTATCGGCGCTTTGCTGATCTTGCAAATAGACCAGCGGTTGGTGATCGGTGACTAAAGTGACATCCGATGCACCCTCGAGGTAACAGCGCCACTCTTCAAGTGCTAGGACAGTTCCTAAACACTCTTGGTCCGTGGTCGTGTAGTTGTACTCAGCTCTGCTGAATTTAGAGCTTGTGTACGCGACTGGGTGGTCGTTCTGTAAAAGTACGGCGCCCGTGCCGTGTAACGACGCATCGGACCAGACAGTGAAGGGTTTGTCTAGTTCAGGGAGTTTTAATACTGGTGCGTTGGTTAAGGCAGACTTCACGCCCTCGAAGGAGCCTTGACAGTCCTTCGTCCAGTGGTAGGGCACCTTCGCACTGGTGAGTGACGTGAGGGGGGCCACGAGAGAAGAATATCCTTGGATAAATCTTCGAAAATAATTGGCTAAGCCAAGGAACGAACGCAGCTTTTGCAAGTCTGTCGGTATCGGCCATTCTTTAATGGTTTTGACCTTACGCTCGTCCACTTTCAGCCCCTCTCGGTTGACGACGTGACCCAGGAAGCAGTCGGTTTGGTTGAACGGCATTGGACATGTGGCGTTAAATTGGTGCTCTCTAGCAGGACAACACGGTACGGATGTGTTGTTCATGCTCGGCGGGGGTCTTACTGAAGACCAAAATATCGTCCAAGTACACTAGCACGAATTTGCCAATGTACGCAGCAAATATACGGTTCATTACTGCTTGGAACGTTGCAGGAGCATTGGTTAGTCCAAAGCATAGGACTTTGAATTGATACTGGCCGAGCCCCGGTGCTATGAAGGCCGTTTTCTCAATATCTTCTTTCGAGATGCGAATTTGGTTATACCCCTGCTGCAGATCCAGGGAGCTGAAAAGGTTAGCCCCTTGGAGCTGATCGAAGAGTTCGGTAATGTTTGGCATTGGATACCGTCTCTTGATCGTAAGTTTATTCAGAGCTCGATAATCAAGAACCATACGCAGGCCTTGCCCGTTAGCTTTTTCCACAAAGATGACGGGTGCGCCATAAGGCGATGCAGAAGGTTCAATGTAACCTTTCTGCAAAAGCTCTGTAACTTGTTTACGCATCTCTTGTTGCTCTAATTGAGTCAACCGGTACGATCGTTTTGCTGGCGGTACGGCTCCGTCGATGAGCGGAATTGTGTGACCAATGTCGCGATCAGGCGGAAGACCGTTAAGCTCTTCAAATACATCTTTGTATTCGTCAAGCAAACCCTTTAAAGTATTGTCAGGAATAAGTTCGGCCATATTTGTGTGTGTGCCTTTGGCCTTTGTTTCCTGTTCCAGCTCAGATTGTACTAACAAAAGATAGCTTCGTGCTCCTTTTGTTATTTTACGTGCCGCTGCTTTAGCCGACATCGTTTCAACTGTCGTCGCCGCATAGAAAGTCGCGGTGACGTAGTTCATGATAGTGATACCATCAAGGTGATCTTCAGCATTATTGTCCGAAGACCAAAAGGAAGGCTTGAGCGTCCAACTGTCTGTGGGCGACTTGTGGAGCGTAAGCGTCCGCGTTTGGAAGCACATCCGCGCTTTGCGGCGCACAAGCCAATCCGCGCCAAGTATAAGTTCGACTCCGGCGTTAGCTTGCTTTAGCACGAGCAGTTTGACTGTGTCATGAAAGGATGCTATCCGCAACTTGGCGTGTATCAAGCCCTCAATGAGCTCGGAGGAGCCGTTCGCGACGCGAACCAAAGAAGTTGAACACGGCCGAATAGCGAGCCCCATTTTGCGAGCTGCCTCGGAGGAGATGAATCCATCAGCCGTGCCCTTGCAGTCAGCACCGGAATCGATAAGTGCGCTGCAAGGCGTTTGGCATAAGAATGCGCCAAAAATCATGGACTGTGAGGAGCCAATACTGTTCAGCTGAACCTCTTTAGCTGGCGGGTCATACCAAAGCTGGATAGGCCACGGGATACCGGGCATTTCCTGACGACTACCATCGTCTGCTTTCTCTAAGAACAGTTTCGTCCCTACGGCATATGTTTTTAGCAGCTGGTGTCCTGCCGCTCACATGCGTCTTTCAATTTGAGACCATTTCGGTACTACAAAAACTGCTGAAGTGGTTTCGGGACGCATACGCTTGCAGCGCAGGTAATGCTTATGCCAAAGCTCAATTTTTGTGTATGGGGGATTTGCCCAGACAAACTCGCCAGAGACATCGGAGGTCAAGAACGAATTTGAAGGGGAGGCAAAGCGTGTACAAAGACTATTGTCGCCAGAGTTGTTACAAGCAGCGTCAAAGGTGAACTGCCGTCCCAACATGTTCTCCACGTTACGAAACTCGTCCGGGAGGAACATGTGATCACAGCTAAGCGGATCACCAACGGGCAACAAGGACTCTCTGATTTGCAAGCTAGCCGAGTCCTTAGGACATTCCGGTTGCTCACAGCCCCCAACAACACGCTTGCCGACCCGCTAATCAGCCATGGCATTCTCCATCTTCGCGGCAAGGGACAGCGTCTTCTCGGCGTTAGCCTTGAGGTGTCGAATGCAGTCGGGCTTGTGCTCCGCCCAGCTCTGGTGGGCGGGCTTCACGCGACGGCATTTGCGGCAAGTGTGTGCCGCCAGCTGTTCTTGCTCCAGACGCGCCTTCTTGGGCCGATTGGCGGGTTGCCAACCCTGCGAATTGCGATCAGAGGACGAACACTTAAATTTATTGAAGGGCTTTTTAGCAGTGATCGCATTAAGGTCAGCGCTAACTGCATGGACGGTAGGCTTGTCTTTGCCCGACTGCCATCGAACCTCTTGCCCAACAGCGTAAAGGATTAGCTTATCTAAGCTGTCCCAATCTTTGCCCTCTTCGCTTGTCGCACACCGGCTGCGCAAAGGTGGTAGTAACCCCTTAACGTACCAGCCGATTTGATCGCTAGGGTTCATATCTTTCGCTTCACGAATTATATCGTGAAAACGTTGAGTATATTCGGGCACTGTTTCAGTTGCTTTCATGGCGTGTTCGTTCGCATGCAACCTATCGCGGGCGGCCATAGCCGTGTTGCGTTGCGTATCGCCATATTGCAACAAAAAGGCAGCACGTAAAGAATCACGCGTCAAAAGCTTCTTGCCCGATCGGTGCTCCCCGAAAATGTCCGTGGCCCAGACTAGAGCTTGCCCGATA